TCAGGAACACAGCTGGGTATTCGTATCCTTCCGCCGTTTCCACCATGTGAGGCAGGCCAGTACAGGGTGCTCCTGCATTGAGCCGCCCACCTCCCTGCGCCCGACCACCTTCCAGGCTCCGAATGCCTCCCTAGGGGCGCCTTATGTCCGGCCGACCCCTCTCCCGGAGCACACTCGCTAGTCTGGGGGTAACGTGCCGCCACCACCCCAAGAATGGACTGTCTCACGGCCCTGTGTCCTTGGGGTAACACAGGCCTAAAGTCCCACGGGTACTCAACCCAGTACAGGCACTTGGGGTACTTCCCCAAGTCCGGGGGCAAAAAGGTATAGTCTCCCTTAGTCCACAGACCTAAGGGGTCTCTTAGGCATAATTTAGACCCACCCCTCAATAAGTCTCCCACACCAGTCAAAAAGGAGAACTTTATTGATTACAGGGGGTAGGGTAAACTAGGGTACAGGATAGAGCAATATCTAGAAATCCTAAAGAGCAAACAGTCTGGCTGTGGTAGCCTTTTGATTACGCATCTGTTATACTTCCAGCTAAATATCTAATCAGATTGAGTAGCTTACTCACAAGCATCTTCCAAAGGCAGGTGAAGTTTCCCTTTGGAGGCAGGCGGTTCCTAGCTCGTGAGTTTGGGGGGAGAGAGCCAGTTTCAGATGTTAAGGCTTCTCTGTCCCCTGCCTGGCTGCTGCGTCACCTCATGGCCGGAGAGGAGAGACCGCCTCCTTCCCCGTCCTAACCTATATAGCCCCTGTGACCTCATTCACCTGGGCCAGCGGAGGTCAGCCCCAGTTGGCTGTCAGCCAACCAATCTGAAATGCATCACCTGTTACCGGGCAGATTCCAGCTCCCCAGGTAGAAACCCCTTACCCAGGTAAGTGATGCAAGTCACGTAGGCAGAGGGAGCAGGTTTCCCCCCTCCCTCAGGAATGCAGCCAGCTCCAGTTCCCTAAAGAGACAGGCTGAGGGTGTGGTCCCCTGTGTGCTGGGCCCATCCTAATTGAATGGTCACAGCACAGAGATTTAAATCACAGTGTCACAGGGCAGAGATTTTTGGGGAGAAACCAAGGTGGCTTTCTGCCACAGGTACTCTGGTACCTTCCAAGGTAGACATTTGGGGGGGGGGTTTTTGGCAGTCTTGCCAAAAAATGCTGCCTACCCCTCCCCTAGAGGACAGGCTAGTAATCCAGGTCGACCTCAAATAGGCTTACAAAGTAGGAGGATCAAAACTTGATGGCATTCAACACTGAGAATGCAAGGTGCTCCATCTTGGGAGGAAAAACCCACATCACACTTATAGGCTTGACAGCACAACACTTGCTAGCACCACGACCAAAAGATAGACCGCAAGATGAACATGAACCAGCGATGCAATGCCGCAGCTGGCAAAGCAAACAAAGCTCTGGCTTGCATCTACCGACCCATCTCAAGCAAGACCCAGGAAGTTATCCTCCCACTTTACTCAGCCTTAGTGAGACCACAGCTGGAATACTGTCCAGTCCTAGGCTCCACAATTCAAAAAGGATGTGGAGAAGCTTGAGAGAGTCCAGAGGAGAGCCACATGCATGATTAGAAGACAAGAGAGCAGGTCTTATGAGGACAAGCTGAGAGACATGGGACTCTTCAGCCTGGAGAAGCATAGGCTCAGGGGTGACTTGGTGGCTGCCTATAAGTATATAAGGGAGGTGCACCAGGAACTGGGAGAACATCTGTTCACCAGGGCAAGACAACGTCCAATGGTCACAAAATGCTGAAAGAATATTCTAGGCTGGACACGAGGAAAAACTTCTTCACTGTCCAAGACCTCAGGGCCTAGAATAGACTCCCCCCAGAGGTCGTGCAAGCACCTACTCTGGCTACTTCAAAAAAAACCAAAACAAAGCACTCAGATGCCTATCTTGCTAGGATCATTTGACCCCTGCTGACTTCCTGCCCTTTGGGCAGGGGGCTGGACCCGATGATCTTGCAAGGTCCCTTCCAGCCCTAATGTCTATGAAATCTCTCACGGTGCAAGCACGCAGCAACAGTGGAATGGAGACATACGTTCAAGCCAAAAAAGCATTAGCATGCAAAACAGCACAGCCACAAAGGAATGGTTAATTTCTGTCACTACTCATTCCTCACAATGCTTCTGTAACTTGAGATTACCAGCTACATTTCACAGAAACTGGAGCAGAGAGGTTAAATGGCTTGCCCACGGTCACTCAGGAAGTCAGCGGCAGAGCCAGAATTGGAAGAGTGGACTATGCTAATCTCCCTCCCCAGAGGAACAGCACTGAGAAAGATTCAATACTGCAGAGGTACCTGGATGACACCTAGACGGTAGTGGTAGGTGGCTGCTACAATCCATGCATCGTCCCCCCCCATATGAGGATGTTTCTAATCCTCATTCTGTAGGTCTTTATACTGCCCTGGTTTATAGGGCAACTACTAAAAGGCTGCTTTCTCTGCCCAGTGTTGAAGAGATGCATACAAATCTCGGTTTTTTTTTTTTTTTTTTTTTTTTTT